ACCCTGATTATACTCATTACTGAAGGAAAATCAGAGCTATTCTTTCCCATTTCAAAATGTACCCTACAGAACCCTGTGCCACAGCCTAAGCTTTTAATGGCTTTTTCATGTGTTCATTACCTTTACTTTTATACTTTAAGGTGAAGAGAGAGCTGAGTCAGAAAGCGAAGCTCTCGATTTACCGGTCGATCTACGTTCCTACCCTCATCTATGGTCATGAGCTTTGGGTCATGACCAAAAGAACGAGGTCCCGGATATAAACGGCCGAAATGGGTTTCCTCCGCAGGGTGGCTGGGCTCTCCCTTAGAGATAGGGTGAGAAGCTCGGTCATCCAGGAGGGACTCAGAGTAGAGCCGCTGCTCCTCCACGTCGAGAGGAGCCAGTTGAGGTGGCTCGGGCATCTGGTAAGGATGCCTCTTGGACGCCTCCCTGGTGAGGTATTCCGGGCATGTCCCACCAGGAGGAGGCCCCGAGGAAGACCCAGGACACGCTGGAGGGACTATGTCTCTCGGCTGGCCTGGGAACGCCTTGGAGTTCCCCCTGAGGAGCTGGAAGAAGTAGCGGGGGAGAGGGAGGTCTGGGCCTCCCTTCTGAAGCTGCTGCCCTCGCAACCCGATCCCGGATAGGCGGAAGAAAATGGATGGATAGATGGATGGATGGATGGATGTTATTTACACAGAACATATAGAAACATTCCCTCTTGTTCCTGGGTGAGTCGGACAAACATAAAAACTTGAGTTTGCTGGCGAAACACATACGTGTGTAAAGAGCTGCGTTTAGTGGTTTATTTCCAACATATCCTTAACAGTCTGTAAAAACAAAACAAAAAATCACTGTTCTAAAACAGCTCTCTGGCACTTCAGTGATAAATGTAAAATGTGACTTGATTTGTCGTAAAATTTTAAGGGAGAGGGGTTATTGTGTAGTAAAACTGTATTGTGTATTTTACAGGCATGTGGTTCAATTCTATACCACAATCAACTAATTATGTTAACTTCAAAAGGATTCAGGAGCTTGGCTGCAGACTGAGCTCCATGAGGAGCTTTGTGTAAGTAGGCGGAGCTTTGTGTAAGTAGGTGGAGCTTTGTGTAAGTAGGCGGAGCTTTTTACCAGCAAGCATTTTGCTCTGCATGGCTGCCACAGATTCAAGGATTTCACAAACTTGCACAAACGTGTCAAAGCAATACTCTGCATGTTCTTGATGAGGGAATGACATTGAAGCTAAGTTAATTTTGCATAATACACCCCCCCCCACATAAAAAGTTGTTTTTATCTTAAACATTATGAAACCATTAACAAAATAGTAAAACTTTGGTTTAAAATCTGCATTGACTGCAGGAAAATGTTGAAAAAACATTTTTCAACAGCAACTGGCATTGTGTAAGCTTGTTCCGTCAGTTTCATTTGTATCTGTGAATAAAATATTCAGCTTATTATAGAAAGTATTAATACATTATACCAATAAAGCATTAATCAATGTGTGGTATTATTTAGCATTAATCAATGTGTGGTATTATTTAGGTAGCAGTAGTCATAGCATTTGCATTTCAGTCTTGGGTAAAAGCAAAAAAAATCGTTTAGAAGTTTTTGTTTTATTGCTATAAAGCTGTAAAACTGGGTATTTTTACTCCAACATATCAGATGAAACTTTAAAGTGCCTGTGACATCAAATTTTTGTGATAAATATGAATGCACTTTTGGAAAGATAACATGGATGGATGGCAAAGGCAATTTCACGCCACTGAGATGAACAGTTGTTAAGATGTTTGCATGTGAAGTAACAGGAAGTGACGTCAAAGGGGAACGTCTGCATGTAAACAGAGCATCGCTACAACGGCCAACAACACAGACAGCAGGGACTTTTCTGATGTTTCTTTATATAATTTTAGTTCCCATAAGGGAGAGAGATGAAGACGAGTCAGAGTTCAAAAAACGTTGTTTTAATAAACAAAGACCAGGGAGTTTTCTTTTTTAAAGAGTTCCCCTTTGATGTCACTTCCTGTTTCACTTTAGCGGAGCCAAGTTCAAAGGAAAATATGTCAGTTATGTGATAAAATGGGTAAAATCATGTGTTTTAGACCAATTTTCCTAAAAATGAAGATATTTTCTTGGACTTTTTGTATTTGAAGGATAGGCATGTCAGGCACTTTAAAACCCTAAGTTTTGCTGCCATGCTCTCTCTTGTGAACTTTGACCTTTAACCTGCTCACTGAGGACTACAGGGTCTCGTTAGAAGAATCAAACTGAGTCATTTTGTTTTAAAAGCATTTTAATGGCTTTTTGCACATATGTAACAGAGATGAGGGAAGTTCTACGGGTGCAGATCCAACTAGCAGTGACCCCCCTGGTCCACCTATAAACCCCACCCCCATCCTAACCTCCCCTCCCCCATCGTGGCATCGTTGATTGTGCAATATGAAGAAATATCGTGTTACTATGGTTACAGTGACAGATAAATGCACACTATAGTTATCAAATCGCCAGAGATTGAAGCATTAAAAAATAAAGTAAAAATCGAGCAGGGCGACCCACGCAGTCCCCGCGGCACCACCACCCTTCACTGCGGGGAAAAACATTTTTACTTTTCACCTTCAGGCTCATTCCTGCCGTTTCACTTCCACTTTTTTCTGGCGCTACGGAAGTCCATTAATGACAAAATTACAAAAGATAAATTCAAGCGGTGGCTGAGAAAATCTGTTTATATTAGAAACATCCAGCTGGAGAGACCTTTTTTTTATTTCCAGTTCTTAAATCTATGTGCTGAAATCGAGGCCGTGTTCTAACATTACCTGGTAAAGTGAGTTTAATTAAATTTTGTTTTTTGCTTAAGCCTGCCGTAAAAGGATCAGCCTTAAGTCCGTGGTTCCAAAAGTTGTTCCCTACAGCTTGCTTTATTTAAAAAAAAAACACTCTCACAAATTGTTGTGAAAACTTTATAATTCATTTGGAAAACAAGCTTTTCCTTTGTTCTTTTTAGTGTCTGGGTGACGATTTCAAAACTGATTATTTTTGCTCACATCGTAGAGACAGAGAGTACAGCAAAAACATTTTAAAATGTTCCGCATTTGCTGCCATAAAAACAGCCTATTGTGTAATTACCTGCGTGAGCTCATTCGTCAGTGTGTTAGCAATGTATTTCACAAATTACAGGATGAATTAAAAAAAAACTCAATAGATGCAGAATCATAACTTATACTCTTTTGAATTTAGCCTAATTTAAGATAGCCATCACAGCCAATTAGTGCTGCTTACAACTTATGAAGTGTTAATTGAAAAGTTTGGCATCAGGAGACGTGCATTATAGAAGAATTATTGCTCCAAATCAGATCTTTATCATTAATGAGTTGTACCATAACATTATAACCCTGATCAGCTAATAGGTTTCCCTCCACTTTATTTCATATGAGCAAAAGAAACATTTGGTTAAACCAAACATGATTAGGTGTAGAAATGAAATCAAATGTTTTTGGGCAATAAAAGAAATGAAAAATTAAACTGCATTTTTCTCATCAGCTATTGGTCACGGTATCTTGCGGTTTATATGACTAATAGTAAAATGTGGTTTGTTCCTGCAGAAATAAACACAACAGCTCAAATTTGAGTTTGCTGAATTCTGTCACTAATGGACTTCCGTACAAAAAGCATCCACACAACAGATTTTCACGGCAAAGTTCATCAGCGGCAAAAACGTCTGAAATCTCAACGACGGAGAGCTGAAGCCAACAAGCAAGCGACCATTATTCTGCAACATTTCCAGAAAATTACATTTTTAAGAATCAAAACCGTTCACTTAACAGCAACGTTTAGTTATTTTTGCTTTAATAGAACATCTACGCCTTCATACTCGTCAGACTAAACAGAACCTTAGAATCAGCTTAAACTGTGGATCACAAAACAAAAACACCTTCCAGGAACTAAAGGGCTAAGTTTAATGTTTCAGAGATATAAAGAAACAAATAATTAAAAAAAGGAACCTCACTGATTGGTGGAAAATTCATTAAACATTCCTAAAGCTGTTAATGCTCCTTCATTCAGACTCATTAAGTGTTTTCACAGAAAGTAAGTTTAACTCATTGAAGCTTATTATTAGTTGCAATAACTGAGGAACTTAAACACAGGTTTATTTTTAACAGTTTGTTATACACAAGTTATACATACAGTTCAAAGCACGGCAGGGTAACGCTCCAAACAACAGCAACCACTTCCTGTTTGTTCCCTCTCAGATGCTCCAGGAATTACACAGAGCCGAGCGGAACAAGAATGATTGTTTGACTTTTCGCTGTATTTTTTTTCTTCCTTTTGCACAAAAATGAAACCAAGAGAAAAGCAGAATTATTCAGTGCACAAAGACATCTCACTTTACATGTTTGGATTGGAAGGTTTTCCTGCAGGTTTCAGGTGTAAATTCAGAGGATTACCCCGCTGTGGTTTCAGTTTTCCCCACTACAGAGGGATACACGTCAGCTTGCAAAGACAAGACCTCAGGGGGGGAAAAAAACACTACAGAGGATGGACCCAAACAGGAAGTAACTACAACTTAAAAAAAAACTGAAATAAACTAGTGGGGAAGATAAACACGACCCACAGAAGAGGCAGAACTGAACAAAAACCAAACAAACGGGTAATAACTAGGACTATCTGGGAACTCCTCTGCTCGTTGTTGTTCAGCATCAAACTCGGGTTTTACTTTGTTCGACTGCAGCTGCCTGAAGCGTTAACGTTACAATCCGCTCCGGATCTTACAGAAACTGAACCGAGGTCTCGGGTGTTGGAGCTGATCCGAAGCTCTGAGCCGACCGGACGGTTGCTAGGCACAGAGTGGAGAGTTTTGGCTCGGAGCTTGCATGCTGGAGTCACGCTTTGAGAGGAAAAAAGGAGGTGGAGGAAAGAAGGGGGGGGAGGGGGAGGGGCTGTTTGGGATTCGATCAGACATAGCAACTGTGTTTCTGCAGGAAGCTGAAGGAAACGTTGGTTACATGTTAAAAACTCTGCTTTTCTTTAATGTTTTCGGTTAATTCAAGATTAAATTTTGGATTAAATAAATGCGTCTACATTCTGAGCACTTATTCTAATAATTTTTTGCTATGATCAGTTGCTATGACTTTAAATCGATTGTTTGGCTGATTGACATCTTCAAAGATCAAACCAAAGATCGACTGATAACGAGGGATGACCCCAAACAGCACCACAGAGAGACCGAGCTAAAGACGAGCGTCTATTTCTTCTTGCTGAACAGACTGAAGCGCTTCTCCTTGTCTTTCTCTCGTTTGCCGGGGCTCGACTCCGCAGCCGTCGTCGTCGCCGCCGCCACGGAGGCGGGCAGCGTCTGGGCGCGGGGGGCGGGAGCAGGGGCCGGCGTGCTGTGGCTGCTGGGCGTGACCTCGGGCTTCTCACCCGCCATGGCGGCGGAGATCTTAGAGATCCAGGTGTTCATCTCCTCCTGAAAGACGAGACGAACAGGTTGGATCTGAAGCTGTAATCATTTCTTCTGCTTTATCAGGGTTCCTTTAAGGCAAGTTCAATTTAAGACTTTTTAAGACTTTTTAATGCCAAGTGAAATTAAATTTAAGACCAATTTCATAATAAACAAAAATGACAAAAAATAAAAATAAAAACTGGGGCAGAAACTCATGAATCAGAGTATTTTTGGTTAAAGTATTCAAATATTGCTAATAGACCAATTGATTTATTCATATCTAACTGCCTTTTCATCAAATATAGCAAAAACATTTTTAGCAGTCAGTTTTAAATTTAATTTAATTTATGGAAATCCTCTAACAACCTAAAATTTGGAGTTTTAGGACCCACAGTGGGGTCTTAACCCCAGCATGCTGTAGATGAAACCTTAAAGTGCTCGTGACGTTTAACTTTTTAAGAAATATGAATGCATTTTTGGAAAGACAACATTATTAACATGTTAAAAAATGAATTTCACATTGCTCAGGTGAGCAGTTGTTGAGATATTTGCATGTGAAATAACAGGAAGTTATGTCAAAGGTGAATGTCTGCATGTGAATATTTAAAAAATACAGTAAATGTTACCAATTATTTTAATATTTGAGACGCATTCCAGTCATCCTATTTACAATATATTCACATTTTTAAGACTTCTGACAGATTGATTTAAGACATTTTAAGGCTAATTAAGGCCTTGTTTTTGGATTGATGAATTCAAGGCTTTTAAAGACTTTTTAAGGATCTGCAGGAACCCTGTTTATTTTTCTTTATTAAGTCATCGGAGAATTTAAAAATCAAAGTAAGGTTGTATTTTTTTCCAATTAGCTGCTGACAATCAAATTAAAAAGTTTCTAAAATGACTGATTTGAATAACATTGAAGAAATTTAAAATATAAATGCTTATAA